TCGTTCTGAAAATCTAAGAAGAATATACTGTGAACATAACAAAGTACAGAGTCGGGATGGAAATTTGACGATTTCTAAAATAAAATAAGATTTTAAGTGTTTAATTTATTATTAGCTCTTATTCCTTTATACTGTCACGTGCGCAAGAGATATCGCAAGTATAACCGAAATCACAGGAGCAATTAAGAAAGTCTGTAAAAGTTGTAGCCGAATGTGACCATGAAGCAATTCATGTTTAAATCTTTGAAATAGCTGGTTATAGGATATACGTTTCCTAGGAATAAATTATAACGGAGAATTGAGAATTCCAATTCTCCAGTACTCCGCGGACCACACCCTTACACCTTTTTCTTTGTTCTTCTTTTTTGTACACCTCATTCTTCTCTGATATTTTAAAATAAAAGTCTTCGCTGCAAGAATTACATATCTCGTTACGTATCTAAATTTCCATGCCTGGATTTTGGAGTTGTTTAAGTAGGCTAACACAGAAGCTAGAATAGTAGTTACGTTCACGACGCGATTAATTCTATGAAGAATCATTGCATCCCGACACGTAACAGTATCGATACAGATTTATCATAATATTATTGAATTCCTTTTTTAACAGTTTCTGTGAGACATTATTTGTCGGAAATAATTTTAATCCAAATTCAAAAACTTTTTACTCTTTTTTCTATCACTTTTCGTCAAGAATCGCTGTAATTCTATTTCTTAGTTATAATATCAAATCTTAAATTAATCGTCATTTTATACCTTGTGACTTCTATTTTATCCAGACATACAATTACATAACCAGTAATCGCAATAGGTTATCTTAAACTTTGTAGAGTTAGATCAAACAACTGGAAATATTCCAGATTAAAAATCGCCAAATTCGTTTTTGTATCCCACTTTGTATACAATATTTTCAGTTCGGGATATACTGGAATATTACTTACTTTGAACATGAGCGACGCACAATAAAATGACATTATTATAAACATTAATAGATAGGAAAATGAAAAGTTGTGTTCCAGATATTTAATCCACCTTTGAAAAAGGAATGAATACGCACATGTAACGTAATCTAATTCCATGTAATATAGAAAAGCTTATGAAAATAGAAATATTTAAATTCAATTTTAAAATTTAAATATATCAATTTTTAAATTTAAAAATATTGAAATGTTTAAATTTAAAAATATTTAAATTCAAAGATATTTACATTTATGTATGATACATTTTACATTTATGTAAAATATCGTTGTATGTGAGGCACTTAATAAAAAAAAGGTACTAACTTTATTATTAAATTATAAGTTTCTATTGAGTTCACTATTTGTTTTTGCATAGCGATATTCTTTTTGGAGATGGCTATTTCTAATGAATTTTTATCTGCTACACTTTTCGCCTGGCAACTTGAAGATGTAAAACATTATATAATATCGAATCATTACTTATATAAATAATGCTACAATCAGATTATACTCACATAGCAATTTTATATAGTAGACGTAAATGTACAAGAGTTAATATAAATAAACCGTCATGGCAAAATAAAATTACTGGAAAAATCATCAAAATAATATTTATAAAAATTATAATCGAATAATGTTGAAATTTTTCCAAAAGCATCATTGCAATCGGATGTGATTTGTTCATAAACATGAAGATGTCGATTTCGTGAACAATTGCTATAATAGCAGCAATATAGACGATATAAATCATAACTGCAATGCATCTTAAATGTAAAACATTATCGTCAAATGTTTACTCGCAGCCTTACATTAGAAATTAATTATTTTCTTACTCAAATGAATATTTATATAACGATTTCCCACTGTTACGTGTGCTTTAAATATTTTCAATTCTTCTTCGTTTCGCAAGAGATTCCAATCACATTCTACTTCCTTTAACCATTGCTCTACCTTGGAACCAAGATAAACCAACCAAGAAAAATGAAACATGCTGACACGATAATTTGACATTATCATGGTTAAAATGAAGTGAATTTTGTAACTTACGTTTGTAGATTTCACAAATAATGAACTATATATTGTATATATCATTGTTGTTATAATTATTAAGTTTGAGCTCAATAAAAACAATTGAGAGGTATAAAGAAATAACTGTAAAAATTGATAACAAAACTAATTCTTTTACAAATAACACTCCACAACATTACACAA